TCTTCGATTTCTAACCCATTAGCATCATGAAAGCTGCCAGTGGAATCTTGCTCCTCATCTGCATATCACTATCAAGTTCAAAACCTACCTACCTGCCACCCAACAAATGAGAAGTTTCAATTAATTGCAAGCTTTTGGGGCAGCTACCATGTACCATGAGACATCAGGTAAGTCAAGAGACGGTTCTTTGTTTCGGCATTTATGGAGCTGCCTTGTATACGGCTATCTGTCTAGGTCTCACCCCACTGTAACTAACAATGACACTATAGTCTACTCATTTGGATTCCTATCTGGCAGCGCCCATATACACAGTTAACATCTTCTGGTGGCTCTCAATTTTACTCCCAACATCTTAATATTTCACAGCCACAAAGGGCAAAAACTTGAAGAAAGTCCATTTCCCAAAACCCTCATCACCTTTCAGAAAGCAAATCAAGACAAATGGATTGTTCACTGCGACTCATTAATTAAGCATATTCTTTCAATACTAGGAAAGCACCCAAATATGGAAATTAGATTCCAAAGTTATCTACAAACTTTTAAAATGGGGAGCAAAGGAACAACTCAATCATCACAAACCACAGGGACTGGAGCGCTTCAGAGGAAAAACCTTGCTATACCCCAAAACTGTATCAATTTCAGCATTTAACCTGAGTTAGACAAAGACAGCTCTACTGAATAGGGAAAATCAATCTGACAGCAGGAAGCCGGATTGGAAAAGTGGAATCACTATGACCTACTAGCTAGACTTAGTGTGGAGGAGGGAAGCCTTTCAACAGACTAGGTCCCACTAGAAACACTGAAGCCACTGTCTTGAGAAAATTTGGAAAACAGACATTTGTACTGAGGAGAATTAAAGCTATGGGTTTGAGAGACAGTCCTTTGGCTGTGTAGAAAGCAAAGCGACTGTTTTTATACTCGTTTCCTAACTCAGGTTCTCAGAACTGAGTTTCCAAAACCCTCTTTAAGTGTCATGATTTAGGAAAAAAAAAATCTTAAATTCTTATGCTGCTCTGTCCATAGAAGTTTTTCAAAGTACTAAGCCATAGAATTCAAGTTCTGGAAAACCTGGCACCTACCTTTCCACATACCACAGTTCAACATAACACATTGCTAGATTCCCAACACTATTTCCTAGTGGTTTTCAAAACAAGGCTGAGTTTAAAAAAACAAAAGAAAACGCTGCCCACGGTGGCTCACACCTGTAATCCCAGCACTTTGGGAGGCCGAGGCAAGTGGATCACGAGGTCAGGAGATCAAGACCATCCTGGCTAACATGGTGAAACCCTGTCTCTAATACAAAAAATTAGCCGGGTTTGGTGGTGGGCGCCTGTAGTCCCAGCTACTCGGGAGGCTGAGGCAGGAGAATGGTGGGAACCCGGGAGGTGGAGCTTGCAGTGAGCTGAGATCCGGCCACTGCATTCCAGCCTGGGTGACGGTGCAACACTCTGTCACCAAAAAAAAAAAAAAAATTCTTAGGATTACTAGTATTAGCTATAGTGAGCAAATTATCCCAGCCTTGAATCAGTTTTCTCATCCACTAAGGATAACAATACAAACTATACATTTCACAGGGTACAGGCATAACTAGAATTTTTTTTTCTTAAACTCATCTCTAGGTAAAACTCCGCAGGGATTTAATAGTTCACATTTGTAGAACAACGTACTAATCAGAGACTAACAAAATACCAAAAGATCTAGTTTAAGAAGACAACTACCAATATTTCAGTTTATGCCAGATAACCTGTAAGTCAATCAAGTGCATAAATCATTTTCCACCAGCATCAGCTGCAATGATATTTTAACCTGTGATGTTATCACCCAAATCCACCTACATTTTTTACTTCCAATCCACAGCAAAAATAAAAATCAAAGATAAATCCAAGCTCAGGTCAACTATGTCTAGCAGGCTTTATCACACAGAATTAATGATTTCCATCTCATCATTCCTGTCCTGTGCACACAAAATCGGAGGAAATCATCTCATCTTGTGACAGCACTGACCTACTAGATATACAATGGTTATGTGAATACATGTATGCTTTACATCTAGAATTCTAAAACATACCATGTGCAACTATAGAGAAAAGCAAATACTGCTACGCAAAAGTTCCCACTTGAAAATCTGTTTTTATAAGCTATAACTTACACAAATTAAGAGTTGTTAGTAAGAGGAGTACACACCTTTCTGAACTACTAAAATACTCACCTCCTGGGACGCTTCTGTTTATTTTTTGTACGGCTTTTTCGAGTTGGCTTAGGCAGAATTCTCCTCTGTAAGGTAAAAATTATCATGCAACAAAATGAAAAAAGACCTTAAATTGACAAAAAGCTAAAACTGTCATACTGCTTTAAAAGCAAGAAGAATGGCATGGTAAGTTCAAAGTTCAAGAAAGCTAAACAACTCAGACCCTGAGGAAACCGTTCTATGGAGTTACCTCCTGATTCTTGAATAACTCATTCAGAATCCAGCCTCTAATATGCCAGTGGGGAAAAAACCTCCCAGACACGCCTTTCCCCATGCCTACTGACTCAGAATACTACTTTTATTCCTGATCAATCCTGGCACTTCATTCCCCAAAGACTTCAGTTTGCACCAATGCCAGATCCAAACTGTAACAGATTTCTTAGTTTGATCATCCCTGTAAGCAACCCACTAGACTTGTAGAATTTTAAATATGGGAAATCATTTTCGTAACTCAAAACACAGCAAGCAGTCTGTCACTTCACAGAATTTGTTTCGGCTCCTAAAGAGTGCACTTTGTGTTTCTTTTAAAAACTTCTTATTTTTCTATTTTTTGTAGACAGGGTCTCACCATGTTGCCCAGGCAGGTCACTAAAGTGATTCACCCACCTCCACCTCCACTTCCACCTCCCAGTGCTGGGATTACAGGCGTGAGCCACCACGCTCCGCCTGTACTGTTATCTTTCTGCCCAGTTGGATTCCTAAAAGGATTGTTTTCATGACTCCAACTACCAATGCGGTCTAAATACAAGCAATTTTAGCAAAATTCACAAACAAAAACGTGCTGCAACAGAACAGATACCTGAGCGATAAAGACAACATGCTTCCCACTGAACTTTTTCTCCAATTCGCGTACTAGCCGGACTTGGATTTTCTGGAAAGATTTCAGTTGAGGAACAGGAACAAAGATTATGATAGCTTTCCGACCACCACCAACTTCAATTTCCTAAAGAAAAAAAAAATCCATTTGTTAATTGCTTCAGAAAGCAAAAAAGTAAACGTTGTGGTCAAATTAGAGACTAAGCCCACCTTATCACTAACACAATAGCTGCACTACAAACTAATACTAGTTTTGAGTTAATGACATATGCAACCTTCGGAGACGTTCACCTCTCTCTCCAACATTCACATTTCCTTATTCCAGGAAGGGAGACTGTCCAGGCCAAGGAGGCCAATCACTGCCACTTCTGCACCCCGCATCCGGGCTAAGTGTAGAGAAGTCCGCATCCTGGGAGCTCCCCATAGCTCTTCGCTGTATTTATTACTAAGTAAGGGCAAGCAAGGTCCGAAACCGGCCCAGGCCCTCCCTACTCCACGTTTCTCCACCGCCCGCACGTGGACAGCTTCAACTGCAGAGTACCTGCAACCCCTCTCCCGCACCTGGGCGGTACCATTGGCAAACACCACGCCGGAACCTGAGTTCAGGTTAGGCAGCCAGGCGGCAAGTCACCCTCAACCGTAACCCGGGTCACCTAACTACCCTCCCAGGCACTGCGCGCTGAGACGCGCCGCACCTCCCTCCCAGCCGAGGGGCGCCGGCTCACCTTGGCCGCCGTAATATTCAGCTCCCTGAGCTGAGCCTTGAGGTCCGAGTTCATCTCCAGCTCCAGAAGAGCCTGAGAAGCAACGAACAGCAGGGCCGACCCTCAGCGCGCGTCCCAGCAGCCCGGGCCCAGCACACACGCGACCGCCTTCCCTCCCAGGCGGGGCGCCTCCACCCGCCCCAGACCCCAAGGAAACCCTCTCACCTGGGAGATGCCGGACTCGAACTCGTCCGGCTTCTCGCCATTGGGCTTCACGATCTTGGCGCTCGAACTGAACATGGCCTTCTCCTGGGAGAACTGAAGGCACAGCGGTCAGCGTTACGCCGCCGGACTGCAGGCGCCGCCGGCTCGCCCTCCCGCCCGCACCCCCCGGCCAGGCCCCGCTCGCCCCGCAGAAGCCATCGGAGGACACAGGGCGGGTAATCGGCTGTATCCCCACCCGGTGAGCAAGGCCCGCCGCTCCAGGGCCTGACTCCAAAAGGCGTTTTCCTCAACACAAGAAGAAAAGTTCGGCCCAAGAACAGACCGCCAACCTACCTCCCCGAGCGCCGGCTTAGGAAGAGGCCCAAATCTCGCGAGAGCACGTCAAACTCTTGCGGCGGAAGGGAAGAGGCGTAAACAGCGCGAGGAGAAGGGCGGAAACCGGAACATCACTGAGAAGCGGTAGAAGGCTAGACAGTCCCAGGAAGCGGCTCCGGGGACGAGTGTCTTGGTAACGCTTTTCCGCCCTAGGATTCGTACTTTGGTGCCGTTTCCGAGCGTTCCGGTGCCGGCTCCCAAGATTCCTATCTTCAATGCAGGTTGCGGCGGGAACTGGCCTCGTCCCAGCCCTGGGCCTGGACGAGAGAAGGAGGCCGAAGAAAACCAACTTCGGCAACCTCCGGAGACAGGACGATTAAAAAAGGCTAACTTGGCTGGGCGCTGAGGCTCACGCCTGTAATCCCAGCACTTTGGGAGGCCGATGCAGGAGGATCACTTGAGCTCAGGAACCAGCTTGGGCAACATGGCGAGACCCCATGTCCACCAAAATAAATAAATAAATTAGCCGGTCATGGTGTCACGCGCTTGCAGTCCCAGCTACTCCGGAGGCCGAGGCGGGAGGATTGCTGGAGCTGAGAGGTCGAGGCTGCAGTGAGCGGAGGTTGCACCACTGCGCTCCAGCCTGGGCGACAGACCAACACCCTGTCTAAAAATACATTAAAAAAAAAAAATTATGAGGCCTTCACTCTATGCTAGTACTGTACTAGGTGCTAATTATTAAGTAAAACAGAATGAACTCTTGCCCTCATGGAGCTTACAGTTTAGTGGAGAAGACATTACATAAACAGTATGACTATACAATGACATATTGTAATAACTTACATAACAGTAAAATGAGAGGTTGGGGAGGGATTATTTATGCTTTAAGAAGTCCGGAATCCTGGAACGGAATGGCATTAAACGGAGACACGAAAGAGCCACAGGGTCTATCGCCTGGGGAAGAGCATTCCAGACAGGGAGAAACTCGTGCCGGAATGACCCCGCTGTGGACAGGTAATTTAATCTGAGCTTCAGTTTCCTCTTCTGTCAAATGTCAGGCAAGAGTTACTTTCAGCCGTGGGCCAGGCACTGTGAAAAATGCAGAAACATTACACTAGGTGCCCTCTCAGGATTCCCAACCACCTTTACTAAGCAGAGATGGTATTCATCTCACATTTTTAATGCTCGGTATGCTCCTGCCCCATGCTTCTCTAATAATGTTTTTTAAAAGGCAAGTGACTATCTCCTTGGAAAATTAAGGATAACTTGAAATTTCTTCCAAATAGAAAGGAAACTACAGCTGCGTCTACAGTCTCATCTGGGCGGTCATTCTGAGGCCCCTTGTCGAACTAGGTCCATATCCTTACTCCACATGCACTTTTCAGCCTGGCTTTTATCTCTGCTGCTCTATAAAAGTAGTAATCTAAAAGTTCATCCAGTAAAGCTCTTTCTCTGTGAACCTGTCGATTGAGAAAAAAAATTAAAGTTATTTCTGGTTTCCAGTCCTTTGTTGAATAGGAGTGGTGAACAAGGACATCCGTGCCTTGTTCCCCATCTTAGGGGAAAACAGATTCAGTCTTTCACCATTAAGTATAATGTTAGCTCTAGGTTTTTTGCAGATATTTTAAATCAAATTCAGGAAGTTCCCTCTATTCCTATTTCTGAGGGTTTTTTTTTTAAAATCATGAATGGATATTGGAGTATGTCAAATGCATTGTTTCTACGAACTAATATGATTATGTGAGTTTTTCTTCTTAGCCTGTTAATGTGCTGTTAATATACATAAATGCTTTTCCTTTCTAACTCTTTAGCTTTGAGCCTCATGAGATCCTAAGAAATGTGATTTTTAAAACTTAGAACCTGATAGAAGTTGATAAAGGTTGCACATGTATTTTTAATAGGTAGTTTCAGGATCATAATCACAACTTAGAGGATGATTCTACTAATTTTATGTTAGGAAATGCCTACTAATCGTTACATTATATATATATATTATTTACTAGTTTTACTAGTACTAGCTCCTTTATTATTTAACCAAGCAATAAATGAGTCGATAATACCAACATAATTGACAAGGAACAGAAATATCATCTATCCAATCCACTTACTTTTAGAACACTTTGTTAACTCTTTTATGTATCATTATGGACATGTGACATTGCAGATTTGCTATACATCAATCAATCTCAGCCAATATTTCTCCTTTGATCCTCAAATTGTCTCAGTTGTGACCAGGAGGGGCCCCTCTTAGATAAGCAGCCGAGTCTTGTCATCTCCATGAATGTCTGAACATCTTGTTTTCTGGCACAAGATATTCCAGGCTCCTCTTGTAATTTTCTGCCTGAGACATAGAATGAGCCTTTTCTTCTAAAAATGCTGATAGTTTTTTTTTTTTTTTTTTTTTTGAAAAATAGTATTGGAGACCAGAATTTTGGCAGCAGGAAGCATCATGGGGATCCTCGTAAGCCATTTCAGTGGACAGAGCTTAAAAAGATGCATTTAAAATAATGTTTTCATAAAAGATACAAGTTCACATTGACATTCTCGATCCACTTCTAACAGAACGATTCCTTCTGAAATCCTCGATTCTATCATAGCATCTCCTTTTCTCCTGTAATAAAAACCTTGATTCCTAAATACAATTACTTGCTTTATCTGACACTATGAGAGAATACATTCAAAATAACAATTCAGGCAGGCTGCAGTGGCTCACACCTGTATTCAGGCGGGCCTCAGTGGCTCACACCTGTAATCCCAGCACTTTGGGATCATCCACCCCACCCAGGGTGGGCGAATCACTTGAGGTCAGGAAATCAGCCTGGCCAACATAGTGAAGCCCTATCTCTACTATAAATAGAAAAATTAGCCAGACCTGGTGGTGGACGCCTGTAATCCCAGCTACTTGGGAAGCTGAGGCATGAGAATCGCTTGAACCTGGGAGGCAGAGGTTGCAGTGAGCCGGGATGGCACCACTGCACTCCAGCCTGGGCAACAGAGTGAGACTTTATCTCAAAAAACAAAAAATCAATATCTATATATTTTTTTGAGACAGGGTCTTGCTCTGTTGCCCAGGTTGGAGGGCAGTGGCATGATCACTGCTCACTGTGGCCTCAGCCTCCCCAGGCTCAGGCGATCCTCCCATCCCAGCCTCCCAAGTACCTGGGATTACAGGTGTATGCCATGAGGCCCAGCTAATTTTTTGTATTTTTTGTGGAGGGGGGTTTCACCCTGTTGCCCAGGCTGGTCTCGAACTCCTAAGCTCAAGCTATCCACCCACCTCAGCCTCCCAAAGTGCTGGGATTACAGGCGTGAGTCACCACATGCAGCCTAACAATTCAACATTACATACAATTACTTAATAAAATTCAAAGATTTCTAGTGAGATCTGCAGTCTGTATGCATTTTCCGCAGTTTACTCATCATCTCTCACTCTGCTGTCTGTTGGTTTTCTGATAGTTTGGGTCAAGAGTTTCAGCTCGTATTCAGTTTGAGGATTAAGTTTACGAAAGCGGATGGCTTTCAGCTACTAAAAGAGAGAAGGTGCTATTCTACCTTTCAATGATGGAAAAACTCAGCAGCTCAATCTCCAAAATTATTTAAATGGACTCATTTAGCTACCATCTGGAGTTGTCCATCCACAATAACCCAGTACATAATCGCACAGAAATAACTGCTAACTGAACTGCTCACTGCCTCCTGCTTTTACATTTCTAGGATGATCAGAACTCAAGTGTTTCACATATTCATAAAAATCTCTAAATATCCTAACTCCTGTTTTGATCTTTCAAGCTTTATAGTTTTCTTGATGTTCATGTAAGCTGTAAGTTGTCTTTCACTTTATACTATACAATGTTCCTTTCCAGTCTAACATACATGGTCTTACCAAGATCTGCAGTGTGCCAGCCAAATGATTCGCCTAATGTTTTGATCTTGATAATTCCAAACTCCAATTGCTGGAATTGAGCAAGGTACTCATTGTAGGGAGGAAGACACGCACCCTGAGCAACTGTGGGGCCTCTGCTAAGGAGGTGTTAGGAAACACGAATAGGATTCGGTTTTGTGTCGGGAATTTGGGGGAGGGCTTGAGAAAGGGGGGCTTTGCTTAGCATTGGATGCTGTCACAAAGCTGGAGTAATTCTGTGGTTGGGTGTCTTAAGTTTCATTTATAGTGAGAGCAGACGAGCGCCAGTCCTCAGCTGTAGTTGCTAAGGAAGCAGCCGTCACTCCTGCTAACCAGGGGAGTTGGACGTTTGGTGTTTTTGTGGCCTCGTCAGTGTTCATATTTTGCCTGGATTCAGACATGATTTTGCAGTGGTCTTGTTTTTGTCTTCGTCAGTCATGGGTTAATGTAGCCTTATCTGATTTTGGCCTTTTTTTTTTTTTTTTTTTTTTTTTTTTTAAGATGGAGTCTCGCACTGTCGCCCAGGCTGGAGTGCAGCGGCGCCATCTCAGCTCACTGCAACCTCCACCTCCCAGGTTCGAGAGATTCTCCTGCCTCAGTCTCCCCGAGTAGCTGGGATTATAGGTACCCACCACCATGCCTGGCTAAGTTTTTTTTTTTTTTTTGAGACAGAGTCTCGCTCTCTTGCCCAGGCTGGAGTGCAGTGGCCGGATCTCAGCTCACTGTAAGCTCCGCCTCCCGGGTTCACGCCATTCTCCTGCCTCAGCCTCCCGAGTAGCTGGGACTACAGGCGCCCGCCACCTCGCCCGGCTAGTTTTTTGTATTTTTTAGTAGAGACGGGGTTTCACCGTGTTAGCCAGGATGGTCTCGATCTCCTGACCTTGTGATCCGCCCGACTCGGCCTCCCAAAGTGCTGGGATTACAGGCTTGAGCCACCGCGCCCGGCAGTTTTTTGTATTTTTGATAGAGACAGTGTTTCACTATGTTGGCCAGGCTGGTCTCTAACTCCTGACCTCGTGATCCACCCACCTCAGCCTCAGTACCAAACAAGTGTAGGACAGCCATACGATGGAATGCTATTCAGCAATAAAGATATACAAGCTGCTAATATAAGTTACATCAGCATGAACCTTGAAAACATTATACAAAGTAAAGCATTATACAAAGTGCTGGGATTACAGGCCTGAGCCACTGCGCCCGGCCTTGACGTTCTCTTAAATCATTTATGTTCAACAGGAAAACCAGGACTGCCGGGGTGCTAGGCCAGCTGTCACAACACCAAGGCCAGCTAGTATTCCACGCGGCTGCTGGAAGTCAGAGACCACTTTTCTCTTTTTACCCAGTACCAGCCAAAATTTTTTATTTTCCTGCAGAAGGCTCAAGGAATCATCAAGTACATTAGAATTTCACATAATTAGCAAAGAATTCATGAACACAAAGCCTTGAATTGTGCCCCAAATCATCTTCTGACTTACGAGTCACAGCTCATAATTTATATTTATTTATTTATTTATTTAGAGACAGAGTCTCGCTCTGTTGCCCAGGCTGGAGTGCAGTGGTGTAATCTTGGCTCACTGCAATCTCCACCTCCCAGGTTCAAGCAATTCTCCTGCCTGAGCCTCGCAGGTAGCTGGGACTACAGGTGCCCGCTACCAGGCCCACTAATTTTTTTTTCTTTTTTTTGTATTTTTAGTAGAGACAGGGTTTTGCCACACTGGCCACGCCAGTCTTGAACTCCTAACCTCGGACGATCCACCTGCCTTGGCCTCGCCAAGTGCTGGGATTACAGACATGAGCCACCAGGCCCGGCCTGAATTCAGAATTTATGTATGTATATCACTAGTATTCTTATTCTTATTAGAGAAAACATAAATGTAGAGCCCAGCTTCTCAGAAGACTGTGGATACACACGCATATTCACTACCTTCACGCTAATCATTCCAACTTCCTAAAGCCAATAGGATATTATATAATCTATTCCTATATATCTGGCTAAGAGAAATTAAAATGTATGTTCACACAAAACATGTATGTGAATGTTTATAGCATCATTACTCATAATAGCCAAAAATAGGGACAAACCCAAATGTCTGTCAATGGATCAATAAACAAACGAGTGTGGTACAGCCATACAAAGGAATACTATTCAGCAACAAAGACAGACAAGCTACTAATATAAGTTACATCAGCACGAACCTCCTAAACATTATACAAAGTGAAAGAAACCAGACACGGACGACCTCATACTGTGTGGTTCTACCTACGATGATTTCCCTCCAGGAAATGTAGAAAAGCCGAATACGTAAGGGAAAGCAGCAGAGAAGTCCCCGGGGCCCGCGGTGGAGCGATGGTACCCAGGAGAGGGAACATTTGGGGGATGGTGGAGGTGTTCCGAGCCGTGTGGTGGGGGTGACTGCACAGCTCTGTGGCTTTACTGAGAGCCATTGAACTTACACACACAGGGGTGTTTTGTTGTTTTGTTTTGTTTTGTTTTGTTTTGAGACAGGGTCTCACTCTGTCACCCAGGCTGGAGTGCAGTGATATGATCACAGCTTGCTGCAGCCTCAACCTACTGGGCTCAAGCAATTCTCCCACCTCAGCTTCCCCAGTAGCTGGAACTACAGGTGTGCACCCACCACTGTGCCCAGCTAGTTTTTGTATTTTTTGGTAGAAACGGGGTCTCAGGCCAGGCTGGTCTTGAACTCCTGGGCTCAAGCCATTTGCCCACCTCAGCCTGCCTCAGTGCTGGGATTACAGTCATGTGCCACCTCGCCTGACCCAGGGGTGAATTTTATGGTATATAAATTTTAGCTCAGTCAAGGTGGGTGTTTTGGTTTTTGGTTTTTGTTTTGTTACATTTAAAACAATAGAAAGCAATCATGCGTTCAGTCTGATAGCCCCGGTTCTCCAGCACCCAGTGCGTGGTCTCACTTTCCTTCTTCCCATATTTATAAATTCCTCCTCCAACAGCAAGAATCGGACTCCCACCCATTTCCACAATGTGTTTCCTTGCTCAGTCCTGGAATGCACAACAGGGAGCTTCAGTGTTGCTAACTGTACGCCGTGAAAACACACCCTTTGCATTGCAGTACTGGGAACACACTCACCTTCTGTCGTTCAGTACTGGGGACTCACCCTCTGCAGTTCGTACTGGGGGTTCTCTGTGTCTTTCACCTGACACAGTCACAATCATATGACTAAGGTTGACCTGGCTTACAACAATTACTTCAAGGCACCTCCCATCCCCTGCCCTGTGTGGGCATGATTCATTTGAAATCCAGATATATTTGTTGAATTAAGTTTTTACTCCATTTTGGTTTTCTCGCCCATCCTTGTTATCTCGGCTCACTGCAGCCTCTGCCTCCCAGGTTCAAGCAATTCTCCTGCCTCAGCTTCCCGAGTAGCTGGGATTACAGGCATGTGCCACCACCCCTGGCTAATTTTTGTATTTTTAGTAGAGACAGGATTTCTCCATGTTGGCCAGGCTGGTCTCCAACTCCTGACCTCATGTGACCTGCCCACCCTGGCATCCCAAAGTGCTGGGATTACAGGCGTGAGCCACCGTGCCCAGCCCTTGTTGACTTTTGACTATGTGAAACACTCTTGCTTCTGAAAGTCAAAAGCCATCTAAGGAGGTCACTCCCTCGAGAAGGCCACACTGCACCGGCCTCTGCCTTCCCTCCTCCACCCAACCTTGCTTTCTGGTTCATCCCTCCTGAGTTTCTTTTTGCTTGAATGTATATTTTCTTACTTCCCCTTCATTCTTACACAAAAGCGCATTTGATTTTTGCATTTTGTGTTCCCCTAAACATATTTCCTGGCAATCCCCCGGTGTCAGCTCAGGAGACCTCCCCCATGCATTTTTTACCGTGACATCGCTCTGCACTGGGCAGTTAGGCCACTCTCACCCTGCCCGTGTTCTGTGGAGACACTTGGACTGCACCCGAGTCGTAACTAACATTTTGTAATTTTAAACAATGCCCCACAAACAAACTCGCGCATATGCGTTAGGATGCTTTTGGAGCAGCCCCTTCGGGATAAATTTCTAGAAGTGGGATCTCAGCCTCGGAAGGTAAAGCCATAGGTAATTTTGTTACGCACTGCCACCTTCCCTCGGAAACGCGTTGTGCGTCATGTGGGAATTCTTGTTTTCCCACAGCATTCCCAACAGAATGTGTCATCATACTTTTTAATTTGTGTCTGTCTGACAGGTGAAAAATGAGACTGCAGTGTAATTTAATTTGCATTCTCTAATTCGGAGTGAAGTTGGCATATTTCTATGTGTTTCATATGTTCAAGGACCATTGTAAAGCGTTTAATACGTTTTTGTGTGATTTTTTTCTGCTCATATTTTAACCATTTTTCTTTTCTTTTCTTTTCTTTTTTTCTTTTTTTCAGTTGAGAGCAGAATTTTAATAGGCAAAAGAAAGAGAAGACCTCACTGCTGCAGAGAGGAATCCTGGAGAAATGGGTTGCCCTCATTTTTCTTTTTCTTTTTTTGAGACAGTCTCTCACTGTCGCCCAGGCTGGAGTTCGTACCTCCACGAACTCCATGCGCCACGTACGAGTGGTACATTCGTACCTCGCTGCAGCGTCAACCTCCCGGGCTCAATCAATCCTCCCACCTCAGCCTCCCGAGTAGCTGGGACTGTAGGTATTTAACTATTTTTCTATTGAGATTTGGTCTTCCCCACCCCCCACCACAGATTTTTTTAATTAGAGGGCACTTTTCCAAACAAATTATTCTTAAGGTCCTGCTATCTCTGAATATTATTTTTATAGAACAAGCATAACTATAATTGGATCAATCATCTAACCTTTCAAATCCTCAACTTAGTCTTCTGTTAATGAGAGGATTAAATCCATGAGTTAAATGATCTCTAAGAATCAGTATGTCTCCAACTTCAGTGAACAAACAGCAGCTCACCCAGGGATCGCGGTGGGACGCAGACACTGATTCCGCAGTTGTGGACTTGGTGGGGATGGGTGCTGTCTCAGTCCATCTGGGCTGCTATGGAGAGTGCCACAGACAGAGTGGCTTGTGAACAACAGACGCTGTCACCCTCTGGAGACTGAAAGTCCAAGATCAAGGTGGCAGAAAATGCTGTGTCTGAAGAGGAACCGTTTCATTGTTCACAGCGTCTTCTCGCTGTGTCCTCATGTGGCAGAAGGGCTGAGGGAGCTCTCCAGGAGCCTCCTTCATGAGGGCACTCATGCCATCATGGGACTCCGCTCTCACGACCTCATCACCTCCCAAAGACCATCACTTTGGGGGTTAGGATTTAACATATGCCGTTTGGGGGGACACACACATTCAGTCCACAGCAGCTCCATCCAATATGTTGCATTTCTAATTAGCTCACAGGCAATGCTGATGATACTGGTCCAGGAACCATACTTCGAGTAGCAACAAACCAAATAGCCACAGAGAGGAAGTGATAGATGTAGCATTAAGGAAGAAAGATTCCTTCCAGTGCCAAGGCAACTCATCACAGTACCTACAATACAGTGTCATCCTGGAGGGACCAAGAGACCCTGGATAGTTGGCCCAGGACAGAATACTGTTGGGGGTTTGGAGGGTGGCAGTTAAAAAGCCAAGATCTGTTTACCTGTTAAAATATATATTCTTTATTAAATATATATTTATTATATATATAATTTATTCTCTATTATGTAGGATCCTGTGCCTGCAATGTCTAACCTCTGTGCTGCAGAAAGCCTAGAGGTCAGATAGGTGAGGGAGGCCACAGGCTTCTAAGTCATTCTTCCCCTCCGAATCTTAGTAACGGAGTGACAAAAGGAAAGTTACTAATGAGTCCTTGCATGTGAGATGAATTTATGGACCTGTCTGCTTGATCAAGAATTAATGGATTGCATTTAACAGAAGGTCCTTTCTCTCCCTTCCACTTACAGCTGGCGGAGCCTTTATTATTATTATCATCCGTGGACCGATGCGAGATGAATGTGCAAGGCTGTAATGAGGGTGAACTCCTGGGTTAGCACACGCTTAACTGAAGCAAGGTCACGGGCTTGCTCTGTAAAGGCAAGGCCACTTTTCCTGTATGGCAGTAAACTGTCTCTAGACATGGGCGACCTGTGAGTATATGGAAGGTCATTGCTCATATATTAATATATAAAATATAGAAATATTCACACTCTTGATTTTTATCATAAATTGATAATTTGCTTATCTTTGATATATCTCATCAAAAGAAATACTGTTCTTACCATTAATTGTCACAAAATATGTATCCTCTACATGCCCTGATAACTTTTGTATTTTTAGTAGAGACAGAGTTTCACCAGGTTGGCCAGACTGGTCTCTTTTTTTTTTTTGAGACAGAGTTTTGCTCTGTAGCCCGGGCTGGACTGCAGTGGCTGGATCTCAGCTCACTGCAAGCTCCGCCTCCCGGGTTCACGCCATTCTCCTGCCTCAGCCTCCCGAGTAGCTGGGACTACAGGCGCCCGCCACCTCGCCCGGCTAGTTTTTTGTATTTTTAGTAGAGATGGGGTTTCACTGTGTTAGCCAGGATGGTCTCGATCTCCTGACCTCGTGATCCACCCGTCTCGGCCTCCCAAAGTGCTGGGATTACAGGCTTGAGCCACTGCGCCCGGCCGGCCAGACTGGTCTCAAACTCCTGACCTCAGACGATCTGTCTGCCTTGGCCTCCCATAGTGCTGGGATTACAGGAGTGAGCCACCGTGCCTGGCCAATTATCTCCATTTTTTCACAGGAGAGAACAGAATTGGAGCAACGCACCAGATGCACACAACCAGCAAACATAGAGCTGGAATCCAAAGTCAATGCATGTGAACGTCCCAGCTCAGAGAGAGGTGGCGAGCAGGAGAGGACTGGGTGAAAACGGTTCCCACACACACCTTTGTCTTCATCATTTAGTTCTCCAGGGTGTCGCATCGACAACGCCACTTGACCTCCATAGCAATTCTGTGGCATTTGTGCACCAGGAACTTTATCCCCATTTTGCCAGCGAGGAAACTCAGGTTTGGAGCGGGTAAATCACCGCACAAAGCCTTACTGAACAGAACGCCAGGCCTCAACTTTTGCTGGCATTGCCCTTCTTCACAGTTTACTTTAGGGCCTGTCATTTACTGGGGTAAAACACAAAAATTCCTTGTCCCTGAAAGACTGCAATTAAATTGCCATTAGCACAGTAATGTACCAACCAGTCATTCCTCGGGCACAAGGGGGCATGTCTACTGCTATTCAGTCTCAGTGGGTAAACTGGAGAGTCCTCCCACAGTGAGCAGATTGCGAGGGGGGTGCGTACGTGGAAGGACTCACAGGGGTTGGGGAGGCAGCAGTGGCGTTCTGCGTTCTGTCCGAGCCTGTGTGTATTGCTATAAAGGAATACTCGAGGCTAGGTAACTTATGAAGAAAAGAGGTTTATTTGGCTCAAGGTTCTGCAGGCTGTACAAGAAGTATGACGTCAGCATTTGCTTCCGGTGAGTCCCTCAGGGGGCTTCCACTCATGGCAGAAGGGGAAGGGGAGCTGGCATCAGATGGCAAGAGAGGAAGGAAGAGAGGAGTGTTGGAGGTGCCAGGCTCATTTCAACATCAGCTCTGGCAAAAACTAACAGAGCAAGAACTCACTCCTTCCCGAGGGGACAAGAGGATGGCACCAAGAGGCACATGACCCCAAGACTCGAAGATAGGCTCCACCACCAACACCGGGAGTCAGATTTCAACATGAGATTTGGAGGGACCAGGTATCCAATCTATCCATCCATTCCAAGCATCCGTTTGACACCGAGAATGCACTATTTCAGCACCTGTATCCATTCAACAAAAGTATTTTCAATTATAATCATGTAATAGGAATAATCGTCATTTTCCTAATTATTCTTTGGGTTTAAAACCAAAAATTGGCAGAGCATGGTGGCTCACGCCTGCACTCCCAGCACTTTGGGAGGCCTCAGGTAGATCACCTGAGCTCAGGAATTAGAGACCAGCCTGGCCAACATGACGAAACCCCCCTCTACTAAAAATACAATAATTAGCTGGGCATGGTGGCGGGTGCTTGTAATCCCAGCTACTGGGGAGACTGAGGCAGGAGAATCGCTAGAACACGGGAGGTGGAGGCTGCAGTGAGCGGAGATCACGCCACAGCATGCCAGTCTGGGTGATGAGCGTGAAACTCCATCTCAAAAACAAAACAAAACAAAACAACTAACAATTATACTTTTAAAAAGCAATACATTTCTTTCCTTTTTTTCTTTTTTCTTTTCTTTTTTTTTTTTTTTTTTTTTTGAGACAAGGTCTCACTCTGTTGCCCGGGCTGGAGTACAGTAGTGCAATCACGGCTCACCGCAGCCTTAGCCTCCCAGGCTTAAGCAATCCTCCCACCTCAGCCTCCCAAGAAGTTAGGACCACAGGCATGCTTGGCTAGGTTTAAAATTTTTTTGTAGAGACAGGGTCTCATATGTTGCCCAGGCTGGTCTCAAACTCCTGGCCTCGAGTAATCCTCCTCTGTTGACCTCCCAAAGCATGAGCCAATGTACCTGGCCAAAAAAAAATAAATTTCAATTTTATTTTATATATTTATTTATGTATTTAATTTTTTTTGAGACAGCCTTACTCTGTTGCCCAGGCTGGAGTGCAGTGGCGCGATCTTGGCTCCCCAGGTTCTAGCATTTCTTCTGCCTCAGCCTCCTGAGTAGCTGGGACTACAGCCCCGCACCACTACTCCCGGCTAATTTTTGTATTTTTAGTAGAGACGGGTTTTCACCATATTGGCCAGGCTGGTCTCAAACTCCTGACCTCGTGATCCATCTGCCTCAGCCTCCCAAAGTGTTGGGATTACAGGCGTGAGCCACTGCTCCCGGCTAAATTTCAGTTTTAAAGACATTATTCGAATTCAGTAAAATACGTAATATATGAGCTAAAATCCTCACTATAACAGAAATATTTCACCTTGCAGTTCCCACTGCCCTGTTTCACTGATTCAAATTTTAAGCACAGGTGATCACATAGAATGACGTGAAGTAAAGCAAGTGCTCCTTGTTTGTCTTTATAGTCACAGGGCTACCATGGTTTACTTCAAACCTGCTGTTTAAATGCAGGAGGTTGCAGTGCCCATGAGTTGGATCAAACTGTGCCTGAAGCTAGCACTCTGCTTCTGAACCCAATCAACCTCTTGAGGCTGAACGAAGATGTGTTGGAACCAAGTGCATAGCTGGGAGCCCTTGGGATTAATTCCCACGTAAGACATGTTCATTAAAAGATTAGGCATAAAAATGGAATTATACACATATAATTACAGGAGAGTTTTTTTCTGGGAAGAGTATCACTGACAGTGTTTAGAATTCCCAGTGCTCAGTTCACTTTGACTTTCAGTCGGCTTGATCACTTTTTTTTTTTTTTTTTTTTTGAGATGGAGTTACACTCTTGTTGCCTAGGCTGGAATGCAGTGGTGCGATCTCGGCTCACTGCAACCTTCGCCTCCCGGGTTCAAGAGATTCTCCTGCCTCAGACTCCCGTGTAGCTGGGATTACAGGCACACGCCACCACACCCGGCTAATTTTGTATTTTTAGTAGACACAGAGTTTCACATGTTGGTCAGGCTGTCCTCGAACTCCCGACCTCAGGTGAGGCTTGATCACTCTTTTTAGGTTCTCTATGGCTAAGGTGACCCCCACATTGCCTGCACCATAGTGAAGTTCTCCCTCCCCAACCTTAGGCATCATGGGTCATGGCAGGAGGTGAAGGTGTGGGGATTGTTGAATAATGGATGGAATGCGATTATGGATGGAGTTGCATCAGGAAATGGAGGCTTAGCACAGTGGCTCCCGCCTGGAATCCCAGCCCTTTGAGAGGCCAGTACAGTAGGATTGCTTGAGGCCAGGAGTTTGAGTCCAGCCTGAGCAATATAGTGAAACTTTGTCTCTACAAAGAATTTTTTTTCCAGAGACAGGGTCTCGTTCTGTTGTCTAGACTGGAGTGCAGTAGTGTGATCATAGCTCCCTGTAACCTCAAAACTTTTTTTGTTTTTTTTTTTGAGATGGAGTTTCACTATTTTTGCCCAGGCTGGAGTGCAATGGCGCCATCTTGGCTCACTGCAAGCTCCACCTCCCGGGTTTAAGCGATTCTCCTGCCTCAGCCTCCCAAGTAACTGGGATTACAGGCGCCTGCCACCACGCCTGGCTAATTTTTTGTATTTTTAGTAGAGACGGGGTTTCACTATGTTGGCCAGGATGGTCTTGATCTCTTGACCTCGTGATCTGCCCGCCTCAGCCTCCCAAAGTGCTGGGATTACAGGCGTGAGTCACGGCGCCCGGCCTCAAAACTTTTTTTTTTTTTTTTTAATTATACAGGAGGCACACACCTGTAGTACCAGTTATTGGAGGTAGAGGTGGAAAGATGACTTGAGCCCAGGAGCTTGAGGCTGCAGTGTGCTATGATTGCACCAATGCACTCCAGCCTTGGCAACAGAGCAAGACCCTGTCACGACAACAAAAAATTAGGAAATGGACGTTTATGGCAAACTACTTCTGCCCCGAGATTTCCTGTGGGTTCTGCATGATTGGCCCTCAGGGTGTGGGCAGCTAAGGTTCCAAACTGTACTGTTTAATCCTAGCACAGCACAAATGGCTTGCAGGGGATAAGGCGGAATCTCATCAGCACATCAGAGTGAGCGCCTAGCTATCATGGGTCATACCAACGGAGAAGAAGCCGTGCTCTGGGACCCCCCTCCTCCTTCACTAGAGGCAGCGAAATGAAGCACTAGCCCCTGCTCTGACCTTGTTGCTCCCAGAGTCCTTGTGGGTGCTAGTTACAGCCTCAGACTAAGAGCCAGAAGATCTGCCATTGAAGTTTCAGTTCCAAAACTAATGCGATGACTTTGGGTAAGTCATAAAACCTCAAGGCTCAGTTTCTTCATCTGTTAAATAAAATCGATATCTGCCCTGCCGGGCTCCCAGGGTTGTTGTAAGAAGGAGATGGAATAACAGAAATGAAGGAGGGAGGCCAGCTGCCACAGGGCAGGGACCATCACGCACTGTGGCCTCCAACCGGATGGTGCGTCAGAGTCAGCTGGGGCTGCCCAAACACAAACCGCTGGGCTCCACCCCCAGGGATCCCCATGCTAAGGTCCAGGGTAAGGCCCAGAATTTCCATGTCTAACAAGCGCCCAGGTGGTGCTATTGCTGCTGGTCCAAGGATCACACTTTGAAAACCATGACTTAGGTTTAGGAGGATGGACTTTGGAGGCAGGTTTGAGTCCTGGCTGTACCACTTCCTGTCTACATGTCTGAGGGCAAGTGACTTAATCTTTACATTTCAGCTTTCTCAGCTACAGACAATATAATATTGGGAGTGCAAATTAGTTCAACCATTACGGAAAGCAGCATAGTGATTCTGCAAATAACTTAAAACAGAACTTCCATTCAACTCAGCAATCCCATGGCTGGGTATATACCCAGAGGAATCTAAATCGTTCTGCCATAAAGACACATGCAGGTGTATGTTCACTGCAACACTATTCATGATAGCAAAGACATGGAATCCACATAAACGCCCATCCACAGTAGACTTGATAAAGCAAATGTAATACATATACATCGTGGAATACCATGAAGCCCTAAAAAGGAACGAGATCATGTCCTTTGCAGCACCATGGATAGAACTGGAGGCAAACTAAGGCAGAAACAGAAAACCAAACACCGCATGTTCTCACTCACACATGGGAGCTCCACAGTGAGAACACAGGGATATTAGGAGGGGAACGGTGGGCACTGGGGCCTACCTGAGGGTGGAGGATGGGAGGAGGGAGAGGATCCGAAAAAATACCTATCGGGTACTAGGCTTATTCCTGGGTGATGAAATTATCTGTACGCAATCCCCCATGACACGAGTTTACTCATAAAACAAACCTGCACATGGACCTTCAAACCTAAAATAAAAGTTAACAAAAAATTTTCCTGACCGACCTCTTCAGGAAGAGGGGCAGTCCTCAGTGTCACAAGCAATGCCAATAAAGAACAGGAACGCCACCTTTTTCAACTCCTGGGAGATGAATCCAACGCCTGACCCCGCATTGCACGCCCTCTCGCCCACATCGGCTCTCATCCCCGCGCTCCTCGTTCCCGTCACCGGCCTATGCTGGAAACACCCTAGCAGTCACGATCATCACTTCTCTGTCTTACGGGTCTATTATTTCATTCTCTGTTCTGCAGCCGAAGCTCTGCATTGTCGTACCCACGTTTAGAACAGCTCCGTTCAATGATGTCACACAAGCCTTTTAAACTTTTCTGGTGGTCACATTTGAAAAGTAAAACAGCAACAAATAATTTCATTATGATTATTATTATTATTGAGATGGAGTCTCACTCTATCACCCAGGCTGGAGTGCAGTGGCACAATCTCGGCTCACTGTAACCTCTGCCTCCCGGGTTCCAGCGATTCTCCTGCCTTAGCCTCCCAAGTAGTTGGGATTACAGGCACCCACCACCACACCCAGCTGATTTTTGTATTTTTAGTAGAAACGGGGTTTTACCACGTTGGCCAGGCTCGTCTCGAACTCCTGACCTCAGGTGATTCACCTGCCTCAGCCTCCCAAAGTGCTGGGGTTACAGGCGTGAGCCACTGTGCCCGGCCACTAATTTTAAATGTATTTCTTTAACCCAGTGTATTCAAAATATTATCAGTTCAACCTGTGATCAATATACAAAATGAACAATGTGTTTTGGTTTTTTGGCAGCAATGAATGCCATGTTGGCTTTTATTATTACTTTTTTCTAATTTTACTTTAAGTTCCAGGATACAAGTGCAGAACATGTAGGTGTTATATAGACAAACGTGTGTGGTGGCGGTTTGCTGCACTCATCAACCTGTTATCTAGGTTTTAAGCCCTGCATACATTACCTATTTGTTCCAATGCTCTGCCTCCCCTCGACCCCCACCCTCTTAAAATTCTTTTTGTTTTTCACACTGAGTCTTCAAAGTCTGGTGTGTATCATACAGCACATCTCAATAGCCACATGCAGGCAGGGTGCGGTGGCTCACGCCTGTAATCCTAACACTTTGGGAGGCTGAGGTGGGCATTAGACGATGCAGGTCTAGACGAGTGCCTGGTATATTGTGGACACAATTCTTGAATGGACCCTGAGAAGTAAGCAGAAATGGTTTTGTTATTCCTAATTTACAGAGTATAATAGATAATGGCAATAGCGACTTTTATTTGAGTTTATATCATGTGTCAGGAATAGGCTATGCATACATTTATTATTTCATCTAAAATCTCATCCTCAAAACAAAAGCCTTTTGCAGTGGGAATTATCACTCCCATTGTTTTTTTTTTTTCAGTAGAGAAAATTAAGTTTCGAAGGAGCTAAGTGACCGAGGCCACATATACACTAATCTTCTGATTTCTGATCCTGTGTTTGCTCAGGATAAGAAATATCCTGTATTTCTTTAAGCCAGAGATTAAGATAAAAAAGATTTTCAGGAGTAACCAGTCAATGAAAAGTCAAAATAAATAGTTTTGGTAGCCAGGCGCAGTGGCTCACGCCTGTAATCCCAACACTTTGGGAGGCCGAGTTGGGCAGATCACTTGAGGTCAGGAGTTCAAGACCAGCCTGGCCAACATGATGAAACTTTGTCTCTAAAAATTCAAAAATTAGCTGGGCATGGTGGTGCATGCCTGTAACTCCAGCTACTCGGGAGGCTGAGACAGGAGAATCACTTGAACCCAGGAGGCAGAGGTTGCAGTGAGCCAAGATCACGCCACTGCACTCTAGCCTGGGTGTTGGAGTAAGACCCTGAAAAAAGAGAAAAGAAGAAAAGGAAAGAAAAGAAAGAAAGAAGGGAAAGAAAGAAAAAGAAGGAAAGAAAGGAAAGAAGGAAGAAAGGAAGGGAGAAAGAAGGAAGAAAAGAAGGAAAGAGAGAGGAAGGAGGGAAGGACGGAAGGAGGGAAGGAAGGGAAGGGGAAGGGGAAGGAAGAGAGAGGGTTTTGGCACTATGGAAAGTCATGTGGATGATCCTGCAAACATCCTCAGGTAATTCCAACCTAGGACTTCTCAGGGAAGATGAGTCCTTGTGATACAGGACCAACTGGTATGCATAGAAAAGTAAGCCCTCGGTAGGTCAACCCCCAGATATGCGGGTGAGGTGGGGGCAGCTGTCGGGTCATCCTGAGAGCCTTCCTGGGCATCTCTGGGCTTCCTCAGATACCTACACAAGGGTAGGATGATCAGTCATCAATGGACTTTAGGGACAGCTGTGTGTGTCTTTTTATTTTAAAATAAGAATCCGTCTTGAAGTGCAATAGGTAGGAATGAGGAATGAAAGCTATGGCCAATTTAAATTAAAATTAGGAAAGCTGAACTGTTTAAAATTGATGTTCTTTGGCCGGGCACAGTGGCTAATGCCTGTAATCCTAGCACTTTAGGAGGCCAAGGCAGGCGGATCACTTGAGGTCAGGAGTTCAAAACCAGCCTGGCCAACATGGTGTAACTCCGTCTCTACTAAAAATACATAAAAGTTAGCCAGGCGTGGTGGCAGGCACCTGTAATCCCAGCTACTTGGGAGGCTGAGGCAGGAGAATTGCTTGAACCCGGGAAGTGGAGGTTGCAGTAAGCCCCAATCGTGCATCGTGCCACTGCACTCCAGCCTGGGCAACACAGCGAGACTCCGTCAAAAAAAAAAAAAAAAAAGATGTTCTTTGATTTCATAGAGGAACACAAAAACGGACCATGCCAATCTACGCGTCGCTTTTGCCTGGGCGGTTCCTTCTTCCTAGAATGTCCTGCTTCTTTCTAATTCATGTGAATGAAATTAAAAAAAAATTATTATCCTTCAAAACTGTATTTGCTTAGGCGTTCTGATGTGAGGCCCTCCCGACCATCCAGGTGCAGTTGCTTCTCTGCTCTGTGCCTCTCTCTCTTCCAACAGCTTGTTCTGCCTGCGCACTATTTGCTGATGTGTTATCTCCAGGGATTCTCGACTTTCTCACCTTCACCCCCAAGGCCTGACAAAACACATGGCAGGTGTGCAAAAGGCTTGTTAGAAGACCTTAAGAAAATTAAAGAAAAGTGGTTTCAAAATAATTGGATAAACAATGTTTGCCAAAGGAGACTTTTTTTTTGAGACGGAATCTCACTCTGTCGCCCAGATGCAACCTCCACCTCTCGAGTTCAAGTGATTCTCCTGCTTCAGCCTCCTGAGTAGCTACAGGCGCAGGCGACCACGCCCGGCTAACTTCTGTATTTTTAGTAGAGCTGGGGTTTCATCATATTGGTCAGGATGGTCTCCATTTCCTGACCTGGTGATCCACCCGCCTTGACCTCCCAAAGTGCTGAGATTACAGGCGTGAGCCACTGCGCCCCGCCAACCCATGGAGACTTTTAAAATAACTTGATTTGCTTACAGAGCAAAAGGTCAAATAGGGAGCAGAATTCTAAAAGCTGCCTTCTCAGCTGTTTTCTCCCGGGTCGTGGTGCTTGAGGCACTGGACATGCCCTGGTTAAACACCCACGAGCAGTGGAGCAGGGAGGGGACGCGACCCTTCGGGGGAGTGCCCCCGGGGCAAGGCGAGGAATGCGGCTTCCACGGCCTCCCCTCTCGCCCTCCTTTGTGCTTATTCTAATTCATGAATCCTAACATCTTTCTTCCCACTAAAAAATGTGCATTCATTCATTCGGCCACAGCCCTGACTGCAGATCCGCATCCCGGGAGCTCTCGAGGAGCCGCGGTTACCGCACGTGGGCGCCGGGCGCCAGGGGGTACAAGGGCTTCCCGCGGTGACCCGAGCGCGCCGGGGCTCGGCCCCCGAACGGGGGCCTGGGGGCGGGGAGAGAAGGGGCCCCACACGGTCCATCTCGACCTTCCTCTGCAGGGCTCAGGGCTTCAGCCCGGTCAGCTGCGCCTAAGGCCCCGCTCCCATGGGCCCCGCCCCACCCCAGACCTCGCCCGCCTCCGGGACCTCAGCCCCCGCCCCGCTTCTTCAAGTACCAACAGGAAGTTGACGAGTTTGGGCTCGTCGGGGACCGGGCTCCAGGCTCCGCCCGGCGACCCCTCCCCTCCTTAGGCCCCGGCTCTCATCAGGACCCCGCCCAGACGTGCGTCATCTTTCCGCGCCGCGGACGGAAGTGCGGTGGTGAGCGCTGCGGGGTCGCGCCCACGCTGGGCCGGGAGTCGAAATGGTTCCCGGTGCCGGGAGTGAGCGATGAGCTGGCTTGTGTTCTTGGCCCACAGAGTCGCCTTGGCCGCCGTGTCCTGCCGTTGCGGCTTTCGCGGGTTCGGGATGTTCTATGCCGTGAGGAGGGGCCGCAAGACCGGGGTCTTTCTGACCTGGTGAGTGCCCGCCCGCCTAGGCGCCTCCCTGCCGGCACCGAGGTCGAGGGGAGGCCGGAGCTCGGCTAACCCCGGCGGCGGGAGCCGGGCGGGCCTAGTCTGTGCCGCGCGCCGTGGCTGTGGGTGGTCGGGGGACCGCCTCGTATTCCTTCTCGGCCGGCGGGGTTCCAGGAGGCTCACGGCCGGGGACTGGACCGCGCCGAAGACTTGTTTGGAAAGGGGTGGCCTAATAAACCCTGTGTTTAATCCTTCATCTTTGTTGCAGTTAAAGTGCAACAAAAAGTGACACGTCCTGAGAACTAACCCCCATTACCAGATTTTCCGTACCAGCTAAATTGGGACTGGAACTCAGTACCTAATCTAATCTTCCCTTTTTAAAAAGGTAAATTCGAATAAGCCAGTATTTGCGGTTGGATCCTTGTAACAACCCTTGGAGGTGAGAGGGATCATTCTCACTTGCAGGTATAGTTCCTGTGGTCAGGAAGTTCCCAGGGCACGTAACTGACAGAGAAAGGACGTCAGCCCAGGTGTTCTGCCTCTACCACCAGAACTCTTCCCGCTACAGGATATCAAAGTTCGTTACTGTGTTCCACGGCAGCTATAGTATTGAGGAAGAAACATCTCAGAAGTTGACCTTTTTGTTGTAATGAAATGGTTAATATTTTTTTCAAAGACCCCAGTATTTTGTTACGCTTTGAGTTTGACGAAAGCCTTACGGTGCTGGTGTGCTGGCTGGCATACAGTAGAACACAGGTGTAGAGTCTGACGTGCAGGATGAAACTATAAGGCATGATTCTGCCCTTTTCACACTAAAATTGGTCCTCCATATCCAGTTTGCATCCTCAGTTTCAGCTAACTGTAGATCAAAAATATTTGGAAAAAATAAAAATAGAATACAGTTTTAAAATACCCATAAAAAGGCAGTACAACAAGTGTATACATTGTATTAGGTATTATAAACTGGAGATGATTTTAAGCATACAAGAAGATGTGTGTAGGTTATGTGCAAATACACCATTTTATGCAAAGGACTTAAGCATCCTCTGATACTGGTATCTGTGATCGGGGTGGAGGACTTCCTGGAATCTGTCTCCCTCAGATACCAAGGGACAACTGTATTTCCAACTTTAAGAATCTTAATAAAAAAGGGGATAAGTTAGGGAAGGAGAAAATAACATTGCACATCTTTTCCAGGAATGAGTGCAAAGCACAGGTGGACCGGTTTCCTGCTGCCAGATTTAAGAAGTTTGCCACAGAGGATGAGGCCTGGACCTTTGTCAGGAAATCTGCAAGCCCAGAAGTTTCAGAAGGTAGTCACCTCTCATGTCAGTCTGACATTTTAACCTATTCAAAGGCTTTCATATGCCAGATGGCATTTGATCTATATAGCTACCCTCTAGGCATGTAGAGAACCTCGAGCGATCATTTTCATTTTACAAATTAGAACAGGCTGAAAGCAGTTACAAATAGTGGTTCATATTACTTACAGTATTAGGGATAAGCCAGGACTCAGTTCTCCTGTTCCATTCAGCCTTTTATGCCATAAGTCCTTATCTTTTAAAAAAAATACTTGTCCAGCCTGGCCAACATAATGAAATTCCGTTTCTACTAAAATGCAAAAATTAGCCGGGTGTGGTGGTGTGCACCTGTAATCCCAGCTACTTGGGAGGCTGAGGCGGGAGAATTGCTTGAGCCCGGGAGGTGGAGGCTGCAGTGAGCCAAGATTGTGCCACTGCACTCTAGCCTGGGTGACAGGGCAAGACTTGTCAAAAAAAAAAACTTGCATAGTTATTAGACTGAATGGGCTACAGTTTATAGGAATAAGTGTGGTTCTTTCACGGCATGCACCTTTATGGTGTTTCCTTTTTATTGAGGACAGAGTCACACAATCTGAATTTTTTTTTTTTTCCTTCTGTGAGACAGTCTCACTCTGTTGCCCAGGCTGGAGTGCAGTGTCACAATCTTGGCTCACTGCAATCCCTGCTTCCTGGGTTCAAGTGATTCTCCTGCTTCAGCTTCCCGAGTAGCTGGGATTACAGTTGTGTGCCACCACACCCGGCTAATTTTTGTATTTTTTTTTAGTAGAGATGGGATTTCACCATATCGGCCAAGCTGGTCTTGAACTCCTGACCTCAAGTGATTCACCTGCCTTGGCCTCCCAAAGTGTTAGGATTCCAGGCATGAACCACCATGCCTGGCCAATTTCTTCCAATTTTATGTGTTATATAAAGTATGGTTATTCAAAGTTTAAAGCCCAATATAATT